TTGGCTCTTTTATGACTCGTGGACTTCAACTCCCAGAATTCCTCAGCCAGCATGGGGGAACTATGGCCCCCTCATGACTCGTGGACTTCAACTCCCAGAATTCCTGAGCCAGCCTGGCTCAGCTTGGGAACCTCTCCCTTTTCCCTCAGCATGTCTGGCTCAGGAATTCTGGGAGTTGAAGTCCACAAGTCATAAAAGAGCCAAGGTTGCCTACCCCTGGCCTAAGCAAACTCAGCTCCATTCGGTGGTTCTGTTTGTGCTCCGATTTACGCACACTTGAAATTCAATCTTTTGCCTCTCGGCTGATAGGAGGGATCCAGAACGGCTTCGTCGGGTGTTCGTGGCGACCTTTCATGAAAGCGGGACAATTACAAAGCCCAGGGTGGGAAAACAGAAAGAGGACAAACAACTCAGGGGTTGTGAAGGAGGGCGAGGCTTTGTTAAAATATTTGGTCATTTTGCTTGCCAGTTAATAAAACCCACCTTCCCGGACTCAAAAAATCCTGAGTTATTATCAAAAGCACCCTTCAAATCGTTCTGAAGTTTATTTCAAGAGGAAAGATTTGCCACAAGGAAACACTCTGAATTTCTAGCCAAGTCATTTTGCTGAGGTATCAAGTTTTAATCGCTAAACACACAGCTCATTAAAGGTGAATAAACACTCAGGAGCAAGTGTAAGTAAAAGCAAAGATTAGTCCTCAACAAAACATATATACACACATACAGACACTTACGCAAACGCAAACACACACCCAGAAATCCCCATTTGATACAGATGAAAAAGAACAAAAGCCTAAAAGGATAGTTTAAGATACAGAATAAGAGAATAACAGAGCAGGAAGGGACCTTGGAGGTCATCTAGTCCAACCCCCTGCTTGAGCAGGAGACCTATACCATTCCAGGCAAATGGCTGACCAGTCTCTTCTTAAAAGCTTCCAGTGGTGGAGCACCCACAACTTCTAGTGGCAAGCCGTTCCACTGGTTAATTGTTCTCACTGTCAGGAAGTTTCTCCTTAGTTCTAGGTTTCTTCTCTCCTTGATTAGTTTCCATCCGTTGCTTCTTATTCTGCCTTCAGGTGCTTTGGAGAACAGCTTGACTCCCTCTTCTTTGGGGCAGCCCCTGAGAGATTGGAACACTGCTATCATGTCGCCCTACCCCTTCTCTTCACAAGACAATTCCTTTTGTGCATCATCGAAATGCAATAGATTAATTTTATTTAAAAAGACCTCTATATCGTCATTCTATCTATCCCGAATAACATTTTAAAAATTGACAGTTCATCTCCATTGAAGTTTTATATAGTTCACCACTAATCATTGGAATTATTGCCCTTTTTAATCTCTTGTCTCAAGTCATCGAGGGTTTAAGATGGCTGGACCAATTCCCAGAATTCCCTAGCCAGCGTTGCTGGAGTTCAAGTCCACCCGTCTTAAAGTTGCTGAGGTTGAAAAATATTATCTTAAGAAGTGATTAGCCCAGGTCTTATCAGGTTTTCTGTCATCCTTCCGATATTATCTCTGTCGTAAGTATGTTAACATAAATTCTGTCTGTTGAGATATATTATACTAGTTAATTTATACTTCTTTTTTCTGCATTTCTCTGTACAAAGCTGTATCTGTGTCCATGAATGTTTCAGTTGCTCTTCCGAGTTGTTTTCCCAGACAGGAAAAACATCCAGCTAAGTTAATTCTATTTTATTGTAAGGTTACATTAAGAAAATCTTGCAAGTCTGAAAGTCCAAAGTTCCTGTCCTCCAGTTTTAATTGCTTAATCCATTAAGGTGGGTCCATCTTACCTCTGATCTCTCTTCTCTGATGGTTTCTTAGGGAACATCGGTTCCATTCTTTTACAAAGGTCACCTACACATTCCATGATAAGTAGCAATTTCTTGATACCTTAACCAAGAAGGGAAGCAACCTGGAATTAAGGAGAAACTTCCTAACAGTGAGAGCAATCAACCAATGGAACAACTGGAGTCCTAGTGGACAATCACTTAGATATGAGCCAGCCGTGTGCTGCAGCTGCCAAAAAAGCCAACACAATCCTTGGCTGCATTGACAGAGGGATAGAATCAAGGTCACGTGAAGAGTTAATAACACTTTGCAAGGCCTTGGTAAGGCCACACTTGGAATACTGCATCCAGTTTTGGTCACCACGATATAAAAAAGATGTTGAGACTCTAGAAAGAGTACAGAGAAGAGCAACAAAGATGATTAGGGGACTGGAGGCTAAAACATATAAGGAACGGTTGCTGGAATTGGGGGTGTCTAGTTTAACGAAGAGAAGGACGAGGGGGGACATGATAGCAGTCTTGCAATATCTCAGGGGCTGCCCCAAAGAAGAGGGAGTCAAGCTATTCTCCAAAGCGCCCGAAGGCAGGACAAGAAGCAACGGATGGAAACTCATCAAGGAGAGAAGCAACCTAGAACTAAGGAGAAACTTCCTGACAGTGAGAATAATTAACCAGTGGAACAACCTGCCTCCAGAAGCTGTGGATGCTCCAACACTGGAAGTTTTGAAGAAGAGACCGGACAGCCATTTGTCTGAAATGGTATAGGGTTTCCTGCCTGAGCAGGAAGTTGGACTAGATGACCTCCAAAGTCCCTTCCAACTTTATTATTATTATTATTATTATGGATCATTGCACAGTCAGCATTTTTGTCTACCTATCGAGTCCTTCCCAAGGTCCTGGGAGAGGCAGATGTGGATGTTTGATGGTATTACAGATCTCGTCGCAGGATGGAAGCAGTTCCTAGTAAGGCCGCCTTTTGCAATTGACTAATGGCGAATTTGTCAATGCCGATGATGGTGTTCAAGTGGTGCTCCAGTTCTTTTGGGATTGCACCCAAGGGGCTTATTACTATTGGTACCACCCTTGCTTGCCTTTGCCACAGTCTTTCTATTTCTATTTGTAGGTCTTTGTATTTTGTTATCTTCTCCCATTCTTTCTTGTCTATTCTGCTGTCTCCAGGCACTGCCATGTCCACTATCTAGACTTTTTTGATGATGATGATGATGATGATGATGATGATGATGATGATGATTATTATTATTATTATTATTATTATTATTATTATTATTATTATTATTATTATTATTATTATTATTATTATTATTATTATTATAATATTAAAAAATAACCAAGCCTAGAAACATTCTGAGGGATACTTGACAAGGAAGTTGAAGTCCACACAGTTTTAGTGAGTTATCATTCTGCAACCTTCTCATGATGTTTATGACTTTATTGTCATCCGTGTTTTCTTTGGATTTTTTTTGGGCTATAAGAATTAATCCATAGCATTGTTCCGAATCCAGTTTCTTGACGTATGACTCACACGCCCCCATATGAATCTGCAGAATATTTCTTCCTTCTCTTATTTCCTCATTCGAGTTTCGCATTCTACAGGTTTATGGTGCTTTTGCGCAACCTTCAAATATCCTGTCGTTCTCGTCTTATCGAGTCTCTTATCTGAGGTTCGCTCTTTTCAAGTCAGACATGATTTTTAAATATATTCACACGGTGTGTGTGTTTGTGTGTGTGTATATTGTGTGTACATGTATGTGTGTGTGTGTAAATATGAATGTTCAAAGTTAAAAAGGCACTGAAAAAAGTGACTTATCCATTGTTTTTCACACTTACGATTGTTGTAGCATCCTCACGTGATCGACATTCGGACGCTGGGCAACTGACTCATATTTATGACGGCCGCAGTGTCTTGTGGTCCTGTGATCCCCTTTTGCAACCTTCCAGACAGCAAAGTCAATGGGGGAAGCCAGATTCATTTAACAACGGGGTTACTAACTGAGTAACCCCGTTGTAACTGAGTAACTGAGCAATGATTCGCTTAGCAGCTGTGAAAGAAAGGTTGTAAAGTGGGGCAAAACTGACTTAGCAAATGTCTTGCTTAGCAAGAAACGTTTTGGGCTCAGTTGTGGTCCTAATTTGAGGACTACCTGTGTGGCCGCTGTCTGGACCTGAAGAGTTGTACAATTTCCAGCCAACCCATGATGGGCAGGTGACTTTTGCGAATTTCTCCAGTGGATTCCACAAAGGCGTTTCAAGAGGTGGACTGGAGAGATAGAATAGAATAGAAGAACAGAGTTGGAAGGGACCTTGGAGGTCTTCTAGTCCAACCCCCTGCTCAAGCAGGAGACCCTACACCAGTGATGGCGAACCTTTTAGAGACCAAGTGCCCATACTGCAACCCAAAACCCACTTATGCATCGTTGGGTGCCAGGTGGGTGTGGCCCATTGGGTGGGTGTGGCCCATTGGGTGGGCATGGCCAACTGGGTGGACGTTGCTGCGGTGGTAATGGCAGCAACGTCCAATCAATCACTTCCAAAGTTCAATCAATCAATTCCAACTTTGCAAAATCTTTTTTGTCCCGCGAGAAGTTGAAATTGACTGATTGATTGAACCTTTTTTTTTTTGCACACGGCAGCGGAGGCCTAAAGCGAAAAGGTTTTATAAAACCCAGTTGAAGGCCTAGGACTGGGGCGACGGCACACATGCCCACAGAGAGGGCTCTGAGTGCCGCCTCTGGCACCCGTGCCGTAGGTTCGCCACCACTGCCCTACACCATTTCAGACAAATAGCTGTCCATTCTCTTCTTAAAAACTTCCAGTGTTGCAGCATTCACAACTTCTGGAGGCAGGTGGTTCCACTGGTCGATTGTTCTAACTGTTAGGAAATTCCTCCTTAGTTCTAAGGTTGCTTCTCTCCTTGGTGAGTTTCCCTCCATTGCTTCTTGTCCTGCCTTCGGGCGCTTTGGAGAAGAGCTTGACTGCCTCTTCTTCGGGGCAACCCCTGAGATAGACTTGTGAGTCTCATAAATCCTTCTTGGATGAGGAGTATCTTTCGGGGCAGAGATGAGGTTAAAACAAGGGTCCAGACGGTGAGCAGAATTGCACCGTCAACATGCTGCCGCAGTGGCCATCTTGACTTTTTTGACTGCTCCTGAAGACCTCCTTGTGTATCCAGGGGCTGGGTGGAAGTTGAGAGGCTGAATCTCCGAGGGAGACATCCGATGGAGAAAGACCATCATGGATCAGATGTTCCCATCCAGGGCTGGGCTAAGTGAATGGAACCACATCTGTCCAGGCCATGGCCTCCAACTTCTTCTCTTTGTCCTTAAGAGGAAGAATGGATTCTTTCACACTGGACAAGGGAACTGAAACAGAGACACGGGAGAGAGTATTTTGTCCCTCAAAGAGAGGTTGCCTCAAAAGGGCTGCTGAAGGAAAGGCTTAAAGACACCGCAAAGACCGACCAAGTTCAGCCTTATCACCAGCCTGACAGCTGTGCTTATTCCAAATCCACCCAGAATGCGGGTTCTTTTGTTTTCTCCTGAGAATTATTTCCTGGATGGTTTCCTCGAGTGGCTGGGGCAAAGTCGCCAGCTTGGATGCGCATGATTGCTACCTCCCTGCCTATAAGTAGCTTTGGTGGAGGGCAGATCGGAGACTCTGGAGAGGAGACAGAAGGTAGGTGGTCATTTAGCAGGAGAAAGCAGAGGTGAGAACGCGGGCCTCCTCGCTTGCCTCTCCATCGTCTTGCAGTTGGCTCTTCTCCCTTTCTTGAAGTTGTCGGAAAGAAGGAAAGATGGAAGGAGGAAGGGGAGGAAAGAAGGAAAGGGAGGGAGGGAGGAGAAGGAGAGAGGAAGGAAGGAGAAGGAGAAGACAAAACAAAGGAGAGGAAGGAAGAAAGGAAGGAAAGGGAGGAAGGAAGGAAGGGAGGAGAAGGAGAGAGGAAGGAAGGAGAAGAAGAGAAGAAGACAAAAAGCAGCGAGGAAGGAAGGAAAGGAGGAAAGGAGGGAGGGAGGGAGGAGAAGGAGAGAGGAAGGAAGAAGGAGAAGACAGAAC